TAAAATGGATTATAAAGAGAAAAGGGAAAGGGAGGGGTCAGTGAAGAGCACCGGAGTTGAGCCTTTTGTCATCCAGTGTCTTCAGTAGAACGAGGCACGAAGAAATGATACAGCCAATAAATGAAAATGAGGTTGATAATTTTCATTTATCCTGGATTAATTGATTTATTGTTTATCGCAAGAGTCCTACTTGTATCCTGGTTTCATGTCCTGCTCCTTCTTCTATCACTGCTTTGATGCCTATCCATCTATTATCTTTTACCCGTTTCTTCCATTTTGGGTCACGGGGGTCACTGGTGCCCATGTCCAGCAACCACAGTGCAGGGGCAGGGTACACCCAGTCTCCAGTCCATCACAGGGACACAGAGACAAACGAGACAAACAACAATTCACTCTCTCACTCACACCTAGGGACAATTTAGAGTTACCAATCAGCCTAACATGCATGTTTTTGGTCTGTGGGAGGAAACTGGAGCACCCGGAGAAAACCCACGCATGCACAGAGAGAACATGCAAACTCCACCCAGAAAAGCACCCGGACCAGGATTTGAACCGGGGACCTGCTCGCTGAGAGGCAGCAGCTCTACCAGTTGTGCCACCGTGCTGTCCGTGTTGGTGCCTAAAAAACCTTAAATCATGATATGATTGTTTTCTGAGGTTCATTAAAATTTGTCCAGTGATTTATGATATATTTTGCTAACAAACAGGGTTGATGGCAAGAGTTGATGACAAAGTATTAAGCCAAGATTTCACACAATATGTAGTGTTTAATGTGTGTAGTGAATACTACTGTCAGATGATTTTAGGTCAGATGTTATGGAGTTATGGATATATTAATACTGGCATTCTTTCCCTTTAAACAAACAACTGAGTTGTCTCCCAAAACACTCCCTTATTTTCAAGAGATTCCCGTGAAGACCACGAGTACCATATGCTGGTTTTGAGGACACCCACTGAAACGTTGTCATGCTGATGGAGATATAAAACGTGAGCAGATAATGCAGCACGTTGCCGATCATTATGACCGGGCTTCATTTGTATACATTTAATGCATTTTGATGTGAACTGTTCTGATATCTGCCCTAGCAAGTAAGTCCCAGAGATAAATCTTCACCTGCCGTGTGTGCATGTGGTTCATTTGAGTAAACATCCTTAAGAGTGTTTTCCTCTAACAACTACCACAACAAATCTTGGCTCAATAGTTTCAAAACTGACTTATAGCCACTTTTGTGTTTTTAAAACTGAATTAGATGTCGGGGTTGTCTTGATTTGGGTTGGTTCCAAAAGTTAATCACTTTTCGGTGTATACGCAACGATTACTTTCTGAAGGCTTAATAAAAATCTGTCCTGTGCGTCATGAAATGTTTTACTAACGGACAGAGTTTACTTTAATAATTATTGGTAAAAAAATATAAAGAGGTTTTGCTCAATCAGTTAGATCTCAGAGTATATGTTGAGGATGACCCTCAGCTACAACCACGCCATGTTTTAGTTTAATATCTGTAAAACTGGTTGAGTTATAGACACTTTTGTGAGCGTAGCCTTGTCTGTGGCGGCCATCTTGAATCCGATTACCTTTCAAAGCTAAGCAGTTGTTAGTGTTCACCCCATGGTTACTTTCTGGGAATTTTGTTAAAATATGTCCAGTGGTTCATAAGATATTTTGTGAACATAACAGAGAAAATAACACACACGGGCAAAAACAGCCTATTGTCAATGATGGGTGTCAAACATAGAGGTGGAAGTAGAGTGATTAGGGTCTTGTTTTGTTTTGGTTGTTGTTTAAGCAATGCCATTATTAAGATAAATTATAAAGGAAAACGTCTGACAACCTTCCTGATGCGATGAATTAAAATACATTTCAAGATGCATGGTGTTCAAAGATGGGTTAAATAAAAATAAGTTAGTTTTGTTGAGTGGCCAGGTCCCAGACCTGACCTACTTTCATCAGAGATTTAGTTGTCTGAGAGTTTGACGTTTTCAAACAGCGTTCCCCGCATGAAGCCTGAGATGTTCCCAACAACCAGCTATTTATAGAAGCTTTTTGAAAACTGACGCTTTTGAAAAAGCTCTGACAATTTTTGCTGTTATTTCACCACTTCTTTCCACATACTTTCAAAAATCACCTGTAATGTTGAAAGTATTCTAAGCAAACTGACTAAAATTATTAATAAAATGAGAACGCTCATGATGCTGCAGCACGTCAACCTTCACTTATCAGTAATTTTATGTCTTGATGCAAGTTTGGACAAATTTTGTTGGAACAAAATGGATGTTTTTTTAATGAAAATCAACTGTTCTGTGTGAAATAAACTATGAAGGCTTTGATGATGTGTTGTCTGAGCTGTGTAAAACCAGTAAGTTGAAGCATCATGCAGGTTGAGCTGGGTGAGGCGGGTGAGCATCTTTTCTGTTAGTCTTCAGCACCTCTCAGTGGTCACAGTGAAGGGCTGTAGCTGCAAAGTGTTCAATTTCATGAACACTATTTCATAAAAGTTATCACTATTTTTCAGCATCTCTAAATTGTTGGGAATGGAGGAGAAAAAAATGTTAAACCTCATCTAAAGAAAAAAGGTTAGTTTTTTTTTTTTTCTACGAAGCTCCAAATGCTTTCACAGACTGGTCTAGACTGAACATTTGAACTAAAATGTGGGTTTTTAGTTATCTAAACTCTCAGTTAAGCTCCTGCTCAAATCCTTAAAAAAATAATTAATAAATACCGTAGTTCAAAGTTCATGTTAAATTTCTTTTACCCTTGTTTCTTAAAACTTGATTAATCAGATTTAGATGTATGCATTTTGTTGTCCAGGCTGTCGTAATTCTTTTTTATCGCTCACCTCCAAAGGCATTTCAAGTTTTCAACCATTTTGCATGAGTGCAAAAATCATTTCCTGAACTAGTGAACCAATCGTGAAGAAACTCTCAGAAAGTAATCATTAATTATCTTTAAAGATGGCTGCCACAGCCAACTGATCTTAGGAAACACAAAAAAGCTACAAGTCAGAATCAGAATCAGAATAAACTTTATTGGAATTGCACCGAGGTACAATGCGACTGTACGTACAGTCGTCCGAAAGATGGGCGGAGTGCACGAAGCTGCAACTGTAGAAAGCACGGCCATTTTTATCCTTATCAGATAATAATCTTAGATAGGAAAAGAGGGAGAAACATGAGGATAGATAGTGGTATTACAAAAAAAGATCTTTCACATCTTGTCTATCAGGACACGATTTGAGACATCAAAAAAACTCTATCAGCAGCACAATTAAAATATGATTGCATTTGCATTTGACATCAAGGTGTTGAGATATGTCCATGAGCGTTTTTTCAGATCAGCCACAGTTTCCGAAGATGTTGTTCCAGCCAGCAGTTCTGATAAGCCTGCACAGAAAGTTCTTGGGGGGGTGCGATAGATGAAGCTTTTGTCCTTTGGTACTCATGTCCCAGGAGAAATTTGATAGTCAGCCTGTCTCCGAGGCCATCGGGAGTCAGATTCAGATAAGCTTGGTTCTTGTTTTTTCTTCAGGCAGACAGATTACTTTTTTCTTCAGCCTTGAGTCCATCTGGGCGTTTTGGTTCCGAAAATGCCTAATTGTAGGATTCCATTCCACTGATCCATGCTATGAGTCTCCTTCAAGGTCGAACCCACCACACTGACGAGTCCCAGAAGCTGCAGGTGGTCTGCGATTCTCAATCGCCTCCACCTTACGGTTAAGCTTGTAAACCAGACGATGTAAAGTTCCCACAGCGAGGACCAGACCTTCACACTGACTCGGAAGCTTTTCCATGGCCAAAACTGCTGCCGCCGTCTTCTTCAAAAGTCGATTAAACAGAGCCCCGCCGATGCCAAAAAGCAGAGTTCCTGCTATCATAATTCCAAATATGTAAACGTCTTCAACATCCTCCTGAGACAGAACTGAGAGACACATCAACTGCCACACTCCCCACGAATCCATGACGTACCCCACAGCGTGAGTCTCAGCTGGACACGCCGGTTCTCCAGGACCTTGTCGCTTTGATTAAAAAATCTTATCAATAGAGTTGAACGCCCACGATACCAAATCAATAATCTTCTTAATTTATGTTCTGGAGATGAGACCCAGGTGCTTCAGACACACAGAGAGCAGAGCAGAGCAGGAAGAAGGAAAAACGGGGGAGGAAAAAAAAAAGCTGCCACCTCGATCAGAGCATGGGAGGAAAAAAAAGTCAGCAGTACTGCAGAGCTTAAACTTGGTTTGGTAGTGGCGGAGCTTTAACCCCAACACTTGCTTTGAGTGCTACAAATTGCACATTGTTTTTTGTTTAAAACTTTGGCAAGAACCCCATCTGTCTGTTAGCAAAATATCTCATGAACCATTGGACATATTTTCATAAAACGACCTAAAATTCATCAAAAATGTGCCGCTGATCAGAGTGAATCCAGTTCAAGATGGCTACCACAGCTAATCAACCTTAGCCAACAGAAAAATGGCTACAGCTCAGTCGATTTTGCAGACCTTGAGCTAAATTTAATGTGGTAGTAGCTGAGAGTCACTCTCAGCCCATTCTCTGAGTGCTAACAGATCCAGTAACATATGAGACAATATGCATTCCTTTTGTTAAAAACAAAGAAACTCTTCATATTTTCTACAATTTTTAAGCCATTTTTATGATATTTAAAATTAAACGTATAAATTATCCATGAAGTGCCTTGTTTAGTTTACTATAATTTTACCGTACAACCGAACATCATTGGAAGCTTTTGTTACTGCAGGAAACACACTTTCAGACCTGAGGAGGATGTGAAGTAAGAAGACAATCTTATTGTTTCTGTTTTCTTCTCCTGAACTCATAAAAACAGTGGAGGAGGAAGGAAACTCCATTTCCTGAACACTCAAGGTTGATAAGGAGAGGGACAAGCCCTCAGCATCAATACAGTTTACCTTCCTCATACTCCTCCTCTCTTAAGGTCCTCCCCCCGATCCTTTGAGTTCTTGTCCTTCAGAGTTTTCTGCCTTCAAGAGCTGGATCTTAATCTTCCAGGAGAGAGCCACCTTCTCTCAGGATGGGCTCCGGACCCCCCGGCCTGCTGCTGCTCCTACTTCTCAGCAGTCTCATCTGTAAGGACCCCCTGCTGTGCTTCTCCGTGGATAAAGAACGTCCCATCACTTCAGTCTAATATTGTGATTCTCACTCTTCTTCTCTTTTTTCAAACACAGGTCAACGAGTCAAAGGAGAATCTTGTAAGTATGTCTGAATTTTGATTTGATTTAATTTATTTACGGTCTGGAGGACAGAAAGTTTTGTCTTGTACTGTGACAGATTGAGGTTATATTCACACAGAAAAGTTATTTTTACCTTGAAAATAGTTCATTTTTCCAAGAAACAGCCCTGCACTTGTGGCCTTCTAGATGCTTTCAGTTCAATATTCACTGAAGCTGTTTTTATTTGTCGCAGGTGATGCTGTGAAATCTTTTACATAGATGTTTTTATAGTAGTTGTTAAAACTAGCTGTAATTAACCGGCTAGTTTTATCTTAATCTGTTTTTGCGCCTAACTACAGGACGTGGCTAAAGAGGAAGTCATGGCCTCTTCCTCTCTGGAGCTACTGAATCTGGGTGTGTTATCAAAACACAAAAGAAAGCATTTTTCAAAGGACTCCTAATATGACACAATTAGAAAAGGAAAATGCATTGCTGATGCTGATAATGTCTCCTAAAGGAAGTTTACCCTACAGTAGTGGACCGTTACAAACTAAATTTTAAGACATTTTTACAGTAAAATAAATAAAAACTGTAAACAGTTAGGTTGCAGCTATTTTAATAAAATGTCATTGTTTTTGTTTGTGTTTTAAAAGTACAGTAATGTAACTACTTTGGCCAAACCTTGAAAATAACATTCAGTTTTTCAAGAAATCACAAGATTTCACTCATTGTATTTGTTGTGAATGACTATCTGCTACTACCAAATCAAATTTAAGCTCATTAGCTGGAAGGTTGATTGATATATGGCTTTGTTTGTGTTGGCTAGGGTTGGTTAGCTGTGGCAGCCATGTTGAAATGTATTAATTATCATATTTTCCGGCACTACAAGTCACACCTGAGTATAAGTCGCATCAGTCCAAATATGTCTAATAAATTGGAAACATGCATAAATACGTCGCTTCGCCGTATAAGTCACATCTATTATACGTCACCGTTGACAACCTGGAAATGTGGGCCGGTGTTGTGCCAAAAATCAATTGGCTGCAAAATGGTGGCCGTGGGAGCGTGCACGAGAGGACTTTAACGAGAATTTAACAAGATTAACACTTAAAAACAATTATTTGTTTGCTCGACTTTATAGTAAAAGTGTGCCTCAGTTGAACTTTTATTTAATAAATGCACTTTATTAGCTGCATTTCAAAAGAAATCGCTGCCTCGGTGCTCCGGGAGCGCGCAGAGGGAGGAAATCAGGAAGGAGGAATGCTGTGCATTTCTTTGAAATTTAACAAGATAAGCACCTAAAGACAATTATGTGTTTGTTTGACTTTATAGTAACGGTGTGTTTCAGTTGAACTTTTACTTAATAAATGCACTATAATGGTCAAATTAGCTGCATTTTGCCGGGGCAGCACAGCGAAATGCAGCTGATTTGACGGTTGCTCCAGGTATGATCCCGAAGCTGGATGAAGGTGGCAGTATGGCAAGCCAATTGTGTCATTAATAGTTACTTTTACCTATTACATGACACAGCGGCATGCCACGCTACTCGAGTGCCATCTAGCTGCTGAAAATGTTAGTGTTCAATATTTTCATTGTCAGAATGAATGAAAATGGTCAAATCTCGGTCAAAAATTGGTTTATAAATATGGGAAAAAATCCATAAATAAGTTGCTTCAGCGTATAAGTTGCAGGGTATGCAAATTAGACAAAATGGTGCGACTTAAAGGCCAGAAAATATGGTAATTACTTAATAATTAGTTCAACTACAGTCCATCTACTGATTCATGCAACATTTTACTAACAGTCAAACACACAGGATACAATCAACTACTTTCCATTTAAAAGAGTGAAATGACTGTTAAATATAAGATAAATCTGCAATTTTTTCAACTTACAGTCTTTAAGTACTAGTTTATCAGACTACACATACAGGAAAAAAAACGGAAAACTGATTTGGATGCAAGAATAAAATCATTCACCAGAACGAGCTTAATACACTTGTATATTGCTTTGTGTGTTACCTGTTCTTCTGTCTGTACAGCACTTTGGTTGGCCTTGTCGCTGTTTTAAGTGCTCTATAAATAAAATAAAATAGTATGGTATGGTATGGTATGGTATGGTATGGTAAAACAATATTAATGCTTAACATATTTTGGCTAGCCGTATAACTTCTTTCTGGTCTTGACAGTAGCTAATTTAAGCTAATTAGCAGCTCTTTATAGAGCACAGGTGTGAGAATGATGCTGCTTCTGCTTTCACACTGTTGATTTCCTGTTCATAATTTCTCTGTATGTTTTTTGTACACCACTTTCACATACTTTGGGCTGTTTTAACAAATCATAAATCAAAATATATGTCTGAATTGGGAACAGTAGGATTTTATTCTTTGTGATTTTTATATTTTTTGAATTATTTAACTTTATTTACATGGACAAAGTCCTATACATACATAATGCAACCTCCAATTTTTCTATACTTGCTTTATTTTTGTCTTTGTGTGCTCCTTTCAGCTAGCTACTTTCTTAGCTATTTGAGCCTTTATCAACAGTGTTGAGACACTCAGCTTTAAGGTATATTTGTTCATAGTAGCCTTTACGTATGATTTTGCTCATTTCAGCTGTTAGTTATGGTTTTATTACATTTAGCTTTAAGCTACTGTTTAGCTCATTTTCTCTTTTAACTACTGTCTCGATCATTTCGTCTTAAGCGCAGAGGGGACAGGGCCTTCTCTGTAGCAGGACCAAGACTTTGGAATGAGTTACCTTTGCTTGTCAGACAGGCCCCCTCCCTCTCGATTTTCAAGTCCCGTTTAAAAACCCACTACTATTCGGTAGCTTTCAACACCAGATGATCTGTGTTTTGAACCTGTATGCTCCACACTGGTTAGTCATCATTATCTGCATCGTTTTTATGTCTATATTTCTGATTTACTTCATTTTGTATGTTGCTTTGTGTGTTACCTGTTGTTCTGTCTGTACAGCACTTTGGTTGGCCTTGTCGCTGTTTTAAGTGCTCTATAAATAAAGTGGTATGGTATGGTATTTTAACTTCTAGATACACTTGTGCTAGTTTTTATCAGCTAACATGTTGCTAATTTGACCTTTTGGCAACGGCAGTGGTCATTTTAGGTTTTAGCTATTGTTCCTCGAATTTACACCTTTTTTTAGCTATGGTTTTGCTCATTTAAGATTTTAGCTGCTGTTTGGGTGATTTAACTCCTTTTCTACTTGTTTTAACTGTAACAATGAAATTCACTCTTCAACAAATTAAGTAAAATCACTCAACAATTACAGGAATGCAATTTCTTCAAGTTATTTTACTCCAGACAAAACAGTACAATTTATCTCAGTGTATTATTATCAGGTATATTGTATAATCATCATCATCATCAACTTAACTACAGAATGCTGTTAAAACAGGGTAATGTCTCACTATCTCTGCATTGGACAAACTGATTGCTAATCTGTGTTGTTGCTAAAGAAAAAGTAGAAGTGAAATAAATCCACACAGCTCTTCCAGGTGAAGAAAAGGTCAAACACTGTTTGTTAAGCCATTTTACTTCCTTCCATTAGCTCCTGTTTGCTGTGAAGACAAAGACCCAGCCAGGACTGAGGGTGTGAGGTCAAAACCTTATGTCGAGCAGAAAGTCAGAGTTCTGAAATCACAGAGGAGGCTTACTTTGAGACTGCTAGATCATCACAGATACTGCAGTCTTAATTTACTGCATTAAACCTACTGTTTCACTTTGATAAAGTGTCAGAGCAAGATGAGATTTGTTCCCCTTTCTTAATATTTTACTTGTTTCAATGAACAAAAACAGCAGAAAACCAAATGTAAAACACCCTCTTTAACAAGAATGCAGAGGGTAAAAAACAACAACAAAGTAAACCAGATGAAATCCTAATCACCTGGAAAGTACCAGTTATTTCTTAGTTCTTGGAGTTTGAGGCTTCATCAAGCCAAGTTACATAAAGAAAGCCTAGCTGTGTGCCTCTTTGGTGTGGTCTTAACGTGAACCGTTTGTTTCTGTGTCCGCATGTGCACCTCAGCCTTCATCATAGACACCGTGGGCCTCCAGATCCAGCCGCAGAGCACCGTTCAGAGCGGAACACCAGTGACCCTCCACTGCCAGGTCAGCATCAGTTTCATCAACATCTCCCGTCTCGAGCATCATTTCAAGCTCACGCAGGACGATGTTCCCATCTACACCTCAACCACCCCTGAAGACACCATCACGTACGAGCTGAACCCCGCCAGAGCAGCCGACTCTGGAAGTTACAGATGTCGAGTCTCTGTGGAGGACAAGAGCAAGGCCAGCATCAGCCAGAAATTGGATGTCACAGGTAGATGAAGAAATAGGGTTTGTTTATTTCATTTTTTATTCTTGGGTCTTCTTTGCCAACATTAAACTGGTCTTAAAATGGCCTATACTTTTGTGCATAGATGGTGACTTTCCAGATGTGTAAGCTGCCAAAGCTATAGGTATTAATGCACCCCCATATCATCAGAGAGGCAGGTTTTTTAACCATGGGCTGATAACTGGCCAAATGGTCCCTTTCCTCTTTAGTATGGAGGACATGGTGTTTGTGGTTTTCAAAAGGAATTCCAGATTTCATTTAGTCTGACCACAGAACAGAACTTTGTCTCAGTCCATTTTGAATGAACTTTGGTCCCGAGAAGATGGCGGCATTTCTAGTTGGTGTACTGTTCTCATATGGCTTCTTCTTTGCATGGCAGAGCTTTCTTCAGCATTTGTGAATGGCACAGTGAACTGTGTTTACAGACAATGAGCCCATGTATTGATGAACAGACTTGTTTTGGGGTCTTGAAGATCATGAGCATCTAATCTGGACTTTTAGTCTTTTAAGTCCTCTTAGCTCAGAGATTGTCCAATACCTTGAAATATTTTGATAATATTATGAACTTGGTTATGGAATATTCCGTTTTTTTTAGTTTTCTATTGAATTTCCATCCATCCATCACTCACACTTAGAGACAGGAAACCGGAGTACCTGGAAAAACCCCATGTATGCCCGGAGAGAACGTGCAAACTCCACCCAGAAAGGTCCCTGGCTGGGATTCCATCTCACTGAGGAACAACAGCTCTAACAACTGAGCCCTCTATTGAATATTAGTTAGATATTGTTAAACTATTCTAGACACGTTTGTACAAACCTCTGCTCATGTTTACTTCTGAGAGATTTTGTCTCTCTAAAATACTTTTTTTATATGCAGTCCTCTTACTGACCTGTTGCCATGAAATTAATTAGTTGCAAAATGCTTCTCCGGGTGTTGTCCTAACCTTGTTTTGTTTAGGGTTTTTTAAAGATTTATTGCGACCATAAAATTCAATAGCTTTTTTTAAAATAGCATAATTTCCTATTTTAAACATGTGATATGTTTCCTGTTTTTCATTGTGAATAAAATACAGGTTGATGCTATTTATTTATTTATTTATTTATTTGTTTGTTTGTTTTACTTTTGAAAAGAATCCCAAACTTTTTGTAATTGGAGTTGCATTTGTATCTATATGAACATATCAAATTGCAGACTAACTGTAATGTTTACTCTTGCACATGGTCTGTTTCTCCTCAGGCCTGCAGACCCCCACTCTGCATCTGAAGAATTCAAGACCCTATGAGAGCGAGGAGTTCATAGCCACCTGCAGCGCTCCAGAGGAGAAAGGATCGCTCATATTCCATTTTTACCAAAGATTTCGGGGTGGAGACCCTGAGAGGATAAAGCGGGTACAAAGCACGGGGAACATTTCAGAGACCACTCTGAGTCTCAGTCACATTGGAGACTGCTTTTTGTCCTGTGATTATGAAATCAATTTGGTTTCTGGGACCAGACGCTCCAACAGAAGCGATGACACTCATGTGTTAGTGAGAGGTGAGTGCCAATATGTCATTGGAGAATTATAAAACTGCATGAGACAGTATGGCTGACTGAGATGCCTTGTGTCTTCCAGTGCTCAACATTACTCCAATTGTAAATATGCTGCCCTCCAACACCGTCTATGAGGGGGACATTGTAGAGTTTCACTGTAAAGTGGTGAACAGTCCTTTGAAGAACATTGAAGTATTTCTTATAAAGGACAAAATGATCCTCAAAAAAGACAAAACAGCTCTTGCTCATCGATTTACATCTCAAGCTGGTGACTCTGGAGAGCTTGTTTGCAAAGCACAGTGGGAAAATGTCCAAAAAGAAAGCTATATAACATTCACCGTCAAAGGCAAGTTCTCATTATTATGAAAGATCCGATATAACAATAAGTAAAATAATTATGGTGCATGATGCTTACATTTTTCCATCTGACTCTAACAGAGGTATTTTCGAAGCCACAGCTGACTCTGAAGCCTGCAGACCTATATGAAGGAGAGCGCTTCGAACTGAGCTGCTCCATCTCCATTTATGTTCCTGATAGGATTGATGTCAACAAGACTAAATACATCTACTACAAGGATAACAAAGAACTGACCACATCAAGCACTTATGTTTCTGTGGCACACCCAGAAAGAAATGGCAACTACACTTGTAGAGTCACCGCTGTTTCTTTTCGTACAACTTTTCATAAGAATAGCCAAACACTTCAGGTGCAAGCTAAAGGTAAGTCCTCTTGTGCAAGAAATAGAAATTAGTTGGAAAATGATATACTTAAATGAGCACCATAGTTAATATGCTAAACCTGATTTATGCATCCCAATCTTTACGTTATCTTAACCACTACAAAATCTGGACTACCTCAGTGAGCAATAGACACAATTCTAGCACTGAATCTAAAAATGTATCTCATTTAGTCATAAATATATCTGACTAAAGGTAGACTGCATTTAGCCCAAGTAGTTTAGTCCTTACAAATAGTTTCTGTAAGACACAAGCAACTGACAGTATCAAGAGATTTGACACTTATTCTATGCCCTTAGATAGCCTGGTTATTTCCTCTCAAATGGTGACACACTTGTTAAGAAATGCTTTTGTGGGTTAAACAGTTGTGCTAAGTATTGTATGAGTGTTATGTCTATGCTAAACAAATACAAAGTATTTTCGGCCAATACCAAGTTATTTATTCTACTACTAACTCTTGTTTGGAGCTCAGGTGCTGACATTCAGGCATCTGAATGTGGCATTTCAGGCACTTCAGACACCTGTGAGCAACCAGTGTCAATCCTAGATCTTGGGATCAAGATCTAGATTGGTGTCAAGATGTGGTAGAGGTAGGGCAGCCGACTCGGGACCCGAAAGTCCCAGGTTTGATCCCCAGCCATTCCCACATGTCGCTGAGCAAGACAACTAACCCCAATTGCTCCCTGGGCACTTACATAGCTGCCCACTGCTCCACCTGGGTGTATCCCAGGTGCGATGGTAAAAGCAGAGAACTAATTTTGCCATTGTATGGGAACATACAATGATGACAACACATAGCACTTTATTTTATTTCCACAGTTTGGGAGATGATAACACTTGTTGCCACAGTGCAGGGTATATCAGAACCTTCCTCTAGAGTTTGGGAGTGGAGGGGATGGAATGGCCTGCCAGCAGTCCAAACCTTGACCCCAATGAACATCCATGAAAATCAGCTTGGGCATTAAGTTCATTCCAGAGTGACCAGAACAACCCCACTTGCTGACTTGCAACAAACGGTTGAGAATGGGACAGTAGTAGTACTATGTAACCAAGATGATGAGCAGCACGAAGAGAAGGTACCAGACTGTCATGGCTGTGTATGGTTCTTCCACATACTACTGATGCAGCTGTTTGTTAAGTTAATATGTTAAATTGTATACATGTCCTGTTTCATTAGATTTCAATTGTCCAATCTGATCAACAACACCTAAAAATACTGAATAAATTGTTTGGTACTGGAAGAGGAATCGAAATGGCATGTCATGGGTGCATCCCACATACTCTGCTGCTCAACCCACAAGTGCATTTTTCTAACAACGGTTGAACTATGTAAACAAGCTAATCAAACTTTCCAAGAGTATAAGATTTACTGCCAGGAAGAGTTGTTAAAAGAAATAATCAACCAAACACAAGTTTCATTTCATTTTAGTGACTCCAGTTTATCTTTATCTCTGTTTTTTCACAGTTCCTGTTTCTAAACCTGTGATGAGTGTAATAGGGGGCACACTTTTATTAGGAAAGAGTTTTCAGCTGCTTTGTCACAGCAAACATGGCACCCTTCCAATCACGTATATCCTGTTTGGCCCTGACAATCTACGAGAACCCAGAGTGGTTAGCAAGTCTGAGGAAAAGGCTATCTTCAACCGGCCTCCCATCTTCAAGAGCTCAGATTTAGGCAAATTTCGTTGCCACGCTCAGAACAATCAACACAAGATTCCCATGATAGGATTGGGAGAAGACCTGCAACGCTCAACTAAAATCATAGGTAAGATGAAAATTCAGTAAAACTGTTCTAAGCTGTGTTCAACTGTTTCTATAACTCGTTTGATGTACTCTACAGAGTCGTTGTCTAAACCGGTGCTGACCGTTAGTCCTGGCGCTTGGGACATCGCAGAGGGTCAAAGTGTGAGTTTCGTCTGTTCCGTCCAGAGAGGCAGTCCTCCCATCACCTTCACATGGTACAACTCAGAGACAAAAGATCAGCTTGATACTCTGACTACTTTTGAAACGGAAGGATCCTACACCATACACAACGTCAACAGAAAGCACGGAGGGACATATTACTGTGAGAGCACAAACGCCGCCAACGAAGTCAAAAAGAGCAACATAGTCGCAATTGGAGGTGTGTTTAATCTTGTGGTGAACAGCTCTGGAAACAAAATATAATAACTTTGGTTAAAGTGCAGAAAGATTTGAAGTTTTGTGGGTACAATTGTATTTCAAAATTATTTTGTAAAATTTAATTACTAATCTGTTCCCTGCTCCGAATGTTGTCTGCAGTAAACTTGGCTGGGTGGAAGAAAGCTCTTATCGTCGTCTCCTGTCTTCTACTCATACTGATCCTGATACTTGGGATTGCCTTCAGAAAACGTCTTCTTAACCATAAGCAAAGAGCTGTCAGCGTGAGAAGCAAACTATCAGTGTAAGTGATATTGCTTATGTTGCTTGTCGAAAATGAGCTAACTTGGGTTTAAAAAAAAAGATGGATGTGAGGTCTCATGATTGTTTTGTCTTGTTTCACTTCAGGAAGTCAGTCGGCACCAAAGCAGAGCGGCTGAGCCTCACACAGGCAGAAGTCATGGAGGTTTCCAATGGTGAAGCTGCAAATGCATTACAGTCACGCTGTAGATTGAGTACGATTCATTAGAAAACTTGATTGGTGTTTCTGTCTTCCTCGTGCAGCCACCCCAAGCATGATGGGAAAAAGTGTTTGGAGTGACCACGTTTCAGGCTCTGGTGGGTAAAATATCTGAGGAATATATTTTATTTTTATTGTTTACTAAACTCTTTCTAAAACAAAAGGAAACAGCTGAAGAGAGTAGTTAAAAGAAATGGTTCAGATCTTTGAAGGTGGAATGATGTGGAACGTTATGAACAATTAATAAATATGTTACCTGTAGTAGATACCTTTTTGAACAAACTGAACTTGGAGAAATAGACTGTAATTCTCATCAAACTATGAGCTCATGTTTGGTTCAAGTCAGGCCAAAGCCAAAACGGAACAATTTTGTCAAACTGAGGTCATTCAAAAGCTATCTACAGCAGGTAAAATATTAATTGTTCATAACCTTTCCACAGAACCCCACTGTCAAAAATCTGACCTGACTTCTTATAACTATCTAACAATATTTATTAAAAGCATCATAATTTTGGTTAAAAAAAATGCAAGATGTATTCTTTAAATATTGCTTCTTTAAAAAAAAATTAAAAATCCAAATCTGTATCATTATTTCTAAAAGATAGGTACTTGCTAATTATAACAATATTGTGCTGCAGAGTCAGACGATCAGAGCTGCACCGTCAACCAAGAAAAGCAGGAACCTCAAAACCCAGAGGTTCAAACCAAAGATCCAGATCCAAACAGAGGTGAGACTCCTGCAGCATTTTTTTATATTTCTAGCAACAAGCTTCATTGTCTGACCCTAAAAATAACCCAACCTTCTTATAAATTAACTTCATCCCAGCCTCGATGCAAGGGGGCACAGACGCTGTGCACAACGAAGTATGCCTCTCCCAGCAAGGTATGGCTAACACTGCAGTTATCACTCAGAGCACTAAAGCTACATAGTGAAACAAATCAGTTCACTGGTGTTTAAAAAAAAAAACAGGAAGCAGGATCAACTCCAAGTTTAAACATTTTCATTGTTAGTGAAAGAATGTCCCATTGAAACAGAAGGCCAAGCTGCCAGGTGTCCACTTCCTGCCTTCGTCAGAGGACTTCCTGTTGTAAGAAAAGAGTCAAACAGTCTGCTCGTCCATTCAGACTCTGATTGTTCAGTTCTCAGGGGATGACTGCTGCTTATTGTTTTGTCATGATATTTAGTTGACTGTGTTGATTTAACACAATCATGCTGCAAATATAAGATTACAACTCTTTCCTTTTGTCTTTTCTTTTTTAATTTAAAACCTGATTAGGGTAAAAAAGCTAAATCAGCAATCATTTGTAGTCAGATTCTGAGTTTCGGGACCCACAACATGTGCTGATTGCTACACAGGTCCTCCTGTAATGCCAAGACTCTATTTGTTCCCTGTGCTAATCTTCTGGTTTTGTTGTTTGCAGGTGTTTCTGAGACGTCTGACGGCGTGAGTAAGATTCCACATGTACCATTAACACACAAACTAACAACACATTAATCTATTAAGATATGTCTTTAAGATACGGTACATCTCATAAACAGAAAATGTAACTGGAACAGCTGCTGGTTCATTTTTATTTGTAGAAGAAAACCTAAAAGTTGTATTTTTGGAATTACATTGAACAGTTTTAGTTTAACAGAATGTGTTTTTATGGTATTGCATATTGGCTCAGAGGACTGAATTGTGTTTTTTTTTTTTTTATATATATATGGTTGAATAGTGAATTTTCAGGTGAGATTGCCCTCCTCTTCATATTTTTTTGACTTTTTGTAAACCAAGTCATGTCTACATTGAGCCTGATGATATTTACTTATATTTTTCTGCCTCTAACAGTAAAAAGTAACATGTACCACAGGCTAAAATACAAATCCACAGCATGACCAGTCTGCTGCCAAGCTCAACATTTAAATATACCTTTTTTTTTGCATTACTGCATGTTTTCTCCAAACACTCTTCTGGTTTTTGCAGTCAGACGCTTCCATTTTTTATAACCACAAATATCCAGGATTTACCATTGTACCAAATTGCAGGCTCACGTAGATGTTCATTGGTAAATTTCTGACGTTGTCACAGAAGGGGTTTATTTAAACAACTTTTTCACTAAACTCAGAACTGTGCAGAATTGAGCTCTTTGGTGTCAATAAAATCCATCTAAAGGTATTTTTATGTAATTTTTGGACCTTGATTCAACAGAGTTGTTATTCTAATATTAAGGGTGACAGGCAACCTTGATGGGATGGCATGATGTATTTAAGGACTCTGGTGGGGCCATAGTACCATAATTTATGTCTTTCATGTTATTGGGTTTACAAAAGGTGTCAGTGTTGTGTTGAAGAATGAAATCAGAGGCGCTTCGCTGATGACATTCCTCTGAGACTGAAGAACAGCTCTTTTTAATAGAGGTTTCATTGATTTCAGGCACAAGTTTTAATGCAATCAATGGCAAATGGGTGGAAAAAGAAACACCGTTGAGGATTAAGGTGCTTGGGTGTCTTTGACTGAATTTGCTATAAATATCTGTATGACTGAGAACCTCCAAAATCAGAACAGTTTACTTGCTCTAGACTTTCCATCCATCCATTATTTTACCCACTTCTTCCTTTTCGGGTCACTGGGGTCACTGGTGCCACTGGTGCCCATGTTCAGCCATCACTGTGCGAGAGGCGGGGGACACCCTGGACAGGTTTCCAGTCCATCACAGGGACACCTAGAGACAAACAACAATTCACTCTCTCACTCACACCTATGGATAATTTATCAGTCAGCCTAAAATGCATGTTTTTGGTCTGTGGGAGGAAACCGGAGTTTCCGGAGAAAACCCACACATGCACGGAGAGAACATGCAAACTCCACCGAGAATGGCCCCCCAGCCGGGATTCAATCCGGCGACCTTCTCGCTGAGAGGCGGCAGCTCTACCAACTGTGCCACCGTGTCGCCTTATTAGAAACGCATTGAAGAAAAATGCTGTTTGTTGTTATGACACACGTTGCTTTCTCTTATGACGAAAATTCTTGTAAGAATCATTTTTGAAACTGCAGCTGTTCCTGTTTGTATCCAAATTATGCATGAATGAATGAATGAATGAATGAATGAATGAATGAATGAACGAATAAATGAATGAATGAACGAATAAATGAATGAATGAATGAATAAATGAATGAATGAATGAATGAATGAATGAATGAATGAATGAATGAATGAATGAATGAATGAATGAATGAATGAATGCCTTTTATATTCAAGTCAGTGTTTGACATTTGAAAGATGGTCAGTGCTGTTGGACATAACTGATGCCTTCAGTCAGTCAGTGCTTCAGCCACCAATGGAAGCAGTTTATGTTCATCAGTCTTATATTTCAACAGGTGTCACTGGAATATGCACAGTTGAATCGAGATAATGACCAACACTGTGACAGCGGTAACCATGGTGACCACAGTGCCAGCGTTGTAACTGAGACTGACAACTGCGTCAGCGTTGACACCAGCACCCAGGATGAAGGCAACTGTGATCCAGCACCAGACTGTTAAATTACCAACAAATGTATATAT